TAGATATCTTTACAGTAACTTTGCTTAGGATTATTTTTTTCTCATAAACTTTCAGATTCACTCAGTGGGTAAAGGGCATGAACATTTTTGTGATTCTTGATAAACATGGATAAATTAGTTTTTCACAAGGTTGTGGATATCAATTTGCATTTCCACTAACAGTGTGCGTGAAATATTTCCTGTCTTGTGTTTATTTTTGTTTTGACATAGAGATGTTAAAAATTTAGTGGAACCAGATATGGTGATGTTTATTTCTGTTGTGGAAATTCATCTGCTGTTTTAAAACTGTCTTGGAAAGTCCTCCTTAGAGCAGTACTTCTCACTGAGGGTGTTGGGGAGTGGATTTTTTTCCCGTGGGACATTTTACAATGTCTGGAGAGGTTTTTGATTGTCACCACAGTGAGATGTGCTACTGGCATCCAGTGTGTGGCTGCCAGGGATGCTGCTAAACATTCCACAAGGCACAGGACAGCCTTCTTTTTTTTAGGAGACGGGGGCTTGCTATGTTGCCCAGGCTGGAGTGCAGTGGCTATTCATGGGCGCAATCCCTCTACTGATCAGCACGGGAGTTTTGACCTGCTATGTTTCCGACCTGGGCTGGTTCGCCCCTCATTAGGCAACTTGGTGGTTCCCTGCTCCCACGAGGTCACCATATTGATGCCAAACTTAGTGCGGACACCCAATTGGCATAGCGCACAACAACCCAGAACTCCTGGACTCAAGCGATTCTCCAGCCTCAGCCTCCCTAGTAGCTGGGACTACAGGCACATGCCACTGCACCTGGCAGGACAGCCTTCTTAACAAAGAATTTTACTGTTGACATGTTGGGCTAGTAATTATCAAGGAAAGGAAGAGTTTGATTTGTATTTCAGTGCAGTACAAAAGAATATTTTTTCTCAGATGCTGTAAGGGAGAGAAAGGGCCATGTTAAATTTTTTATTGTGCAATATTTGTGGGACCCAGAAAATCCTGGATTTCTTACTAAAAAGAAAATAATAAGATACCATCTTATATTTAAAAATTCCAGAGGGTGTTGTTTACAGAGGTAACAGTATCTATCAGACAACTCCCCAGGCGGTATTTTTATTGAGACATTCTGATCAACAGTTAATGGTGATGATGTATGTGAATCACTTTTAAGTTTTAAAGCTTGGTAGAGGAAAATAAAGACAAATGCTTTTCTTGCCTAGGGAGGCATTTAGTATAGTATAATGTCTGCCAACATTCACTTAATTTCTTCATGATTCTTTCCAAATCCAGATTAACACTATGGTGTTATTTACTTAATGTTTTTCACCAAATTTGATTACTTTTTTGTTTGTCATGAAAATCATGGGTTATAACACATATTAATATGAAGACATAAGTTAAAAATTCAATTGGTAAGTTAATGATAATCATCCCATTCACTGTATGTACCACCTTTGGAGAAATACTGGTAAAATAAAAAGAGCATTGCTTTGGAATCAGGCCTAGTTTGGAATCCTGACTCCATCACTTACTTTTTCCGAGCAATTACCTGAATCATAGAGTGGGGAAAATAATATGTAAAGTGTTGATGTGTGTTTTAATTAAATGATAAAGTTTGTAAAGTACTTGGTTTGAATATGTTCAAGAAATGGTAATTTTCCCTTACTCTAAATTACATGGTAAGTCCCACCTCCTCACACCTCATCTCTGTACTTCGATTTTATTATCGATCGTTCTTGGACAATTTGCCTCTATAACTAGCCTTTTTAGCACCAGAATTATCACTAGTAATTGTGCCTGTATCAGAACTTAATTCAGCAATTTTGGTCTTTGTTGATAAACTAGTGTACTTAATTTAGTAATCTTCATGTTGCATTGACATTTTAAACCTGTGATTTGTCTCTTTATTGTGAAAAAATTGTGTATCAGATATGATGTTGTGGGACTTTGTCTTTAAGGTTAATAAAGAGGTCTTTTAACTCTTACATAAGTAAAACTTGTCAAGGACACACTTTAGGAAATTATAACAGTTACAGTATTATCCTAGGTTAGATTTTGTTAATGAGGATAAAGCTTCTTCCATCTTGATCTAATGTAGCCGTTAGAAGAAAGTATTTAAACCAGGAAAAGGTGGCTGAACTTGGAAAATTTTTCATGTTGTAAGAAAAATTTGGGCCATAAAATTTAAGTTGGCCATTTATGTTTTTGGTGTGATTTCAGATACTTAAGTGGATTGACTTTCTTGATTTTAAAATAACAGAGACAAAACACCATTTTAAAGAAGAATAGCTATTATGTATTAATTTGTCAAATTACACACTACCTAATTAAGATATAAATTATAAGTAAACTTGAGTAAAACTTCTTAGATTAACTTTCATGGAAAATTGTTCACTTAATTACTGAATGAAAAGTTAACTATAAGGCCGAGTGTGATGGCTCATGCCTGTAATCCCAGCACTTTGGGAGGCCAAGGTGGGCAGATCGCTTGAGGTCAGGAGTTTGAGATCAGCCCAGGAAACTGGACAAAGCCCTGTCTCTACAAAAAAACAGAAAAATTAGCCACGTGTGGTGGTGCATGGCTGTAGTCCTAGCTACTCAGGAGGATTGCTTGAAGCCTGGGAGGCGGAGGTTGCAGGGAGAGTTCACACTACTGCACTTCAGCCTGTGTGACAGAGTAAGGCCCTGTTTCAAAAAATAAAAATAATAAGTAACTATGATATAAATTTTGGCCAGGCGCGGTGCCTCGTTCCTGTAATTCCAGCACTTTGGGAGGTCAAGGCAGGTAGATCACCTGACCTGAGGTCAGGAGTTTGAGACCAGCCTGGTCAACATGGTAAAACCCCATCTCTACTAAAAATACAAAAAATGAGCCTGGCATGGTGGTGCATAACTGTAGCCCCAGCTACATGAGAGGCTGAGGCAGGAGAATTACTTGAAACTGGGAGGCAGAGGCTTCGGTGAGCTGAGATCACGCCACTGCACTCCAGCCTAGGTAACAGAGTGAGACTTTATCTCAAACAAACAAACAAAATATATGAAATATATTCAAGAAGTATGCCTAATGAACCAGAACAGCCAGTCCCCCCCTCCTTTTTTAATGTAGGAGATTTCATATGAATTTTCCATTATCTTTTTTCCCCCATCATCAGATCTTGTTTTGACATTCTGAATCTGGATATTTGTTTTATTTAGCAGTGTTTATATTCTTTTATGAAGGATTATGTGTAACTTTAGTGTATGTTTTGTTGTACCCTTTTTTTTTTTTCCTCTTGTTGCCCAGGCTTGAGTGCATGGTGCAATCTCGTCTCACTGCAACCTCTACCTCCCGGGTTCAAGCGATTCTCCTGCCTCAGTGTCCTGAGTAGCTGGGATTACAGGCATGCACCGCCACGCCTGGCTAATTTTGTATTTTAAGTAGAGATGGGGTTTTTCCATGTTGGTCAGGCTGGTCTCAAACTCCTGACCTCAGGTGATCTGCCTACCTCAGCCTCCCAAAGTACTGGGATTACAGGCGTGAGCCACCGCTCCCTGCCATTTTGTTGTACTCTTTATTGTTAAAATTGACTTCTTTAAAAATAGGTTTTACCCTTGGAGATGCACTAGTCCACCCTTTTAAAAGCCTCCTCTAGTTGCAGTTTTAGCAGCTACCAGTAGATGGCACAAGTTCCTGAAAAAAAATTATTTGCCTTCATAAGTTAAACAACTTGAGTACTAAATTTCTAAGCCTGTAAAAAAGGTTTTTAAGTTATAGATATTCTAGGTGAGATTGGTGGGGAGGTTATGGTGGGTTAAAAATGTCTGTTACCTTTAGTTTTGCTTTATAGTAAAAGTTTTTTTGCAATTTTTTAAAATCAATGGTTCTCAGACTCTTAATTGTGTATCAGAATTTACAGACGACTTGTTAAAAACAGACTGTACAGAGGCTGGGCATGGTGGCTTACACCTGTAGTCCCTGCACTTTGGTAGGTGGTGGCGGGAGGATCGTTTGAGCCCAGGAGTTCAAGACAAACCTGAGCAATATAGTGAGACTCTATCTTTAAAAAAAAAAAAAAAAAATTAGCAGGACATGGTAATACATGCCAGTAGTCTTAGCTGCTTTGGAGGCTGAGGTGGGACGATCGCTTGAGAACAGGAGTTTAAGGCTACAGTAAGTGATGATCACACCACTGCACTCCAGCCTAGGTGACAGAGGGAGACCCTGCCTCTTAAACACACATACACAGACACACACACACACACACACACACCCACACCCCCCCACCCACCCACCCCAAAACAGATTGTACAGAATAGTATTTCTAACAAGTTGCCAGGTAATGCTGACACTACTGTTGACAGTATTAATGGTCTGAAGATCGTACTTTCAGACCCTCTGTTTTTAAATTAAACAATCTATGTTTTGTTTTTAAAATAAAGAATATGCCCGTTTTCCATCATCCTAATGTCTTTGGTTATATTTTCATTGACTATGTGGTATCTTTACATAAATGTTTTACTGAAGTCATAGTGTGTGTAAATTTTTTTTCACACTCTGCCTTTTCTGTTCCTTACTGCTACTGTCTTATTTTTGCATTGCCTGTCCATTTAACTATGCTAGAGGATTCTGCCATATGCTGTAGCATCATGTGAGAAGGCTACCATATAGGCCTGAAAAGTGTTGTTGTAATTTGGCCTTTTTTGTGTTTTGACTGGTGTCTGGGATGGTCAGTGGATTCATGGACACTGTCCTGTGTCTTTGTAGTGTGGGAAGTAATCTGGATTCAAAATAAAGCTAATTAAATCATATCTTCTGATAGTAAATGGTATGCGTGAAGAGGTTTCTTTTGTAGCCATATATACAAAAATCTGTTCAGGAGTTTGTGACATATGATCACTTCAGTGTCAGGGGAACCATAGTGAATTTTGGTTAGTTCATAAAGAGGCCTAGGGAAATAAAAGAAATATAATTGTTTTATTCTGAAATTAAAGATGTCTAAAGCTCCATTTTTCATAAAACAGTTAAGAAATTTGCCAGACCTTATTTCCTTTAAAATATAGGACGCTTCATTACTGTGTGTGTCATTCTTTCACAGGAGCCATGTCAATCTATGTGTTGTTCCAATTTTGGTGTATGTGCTGCTGATGAGCACTAGACCTTATTTTGTAGTAGGTAGACAAGTAAATTGGTTGGGAAAACCCATAATTATATTAAGTACAATACAATTATTGTGGGGTTGCTAACAATAATAAGCAAAAGAGTCATTTTTAATTTTATTTATTTTCAAGCCTTGGATTATTTCACTTTTTTGTAATGTGTAACATTTTAGAAAATCTGAATATTTACATAATGGACAAATTTACCATTTAAATATTCAGATTTATATAAATATCTGTTTATTGGATAAAAAAGGTTTCATAGTAACTAGTGATAATTTGTCCTTCAAAACTTTGAATTACTTTTTGAGATGAAAATTAATGAGGTTCTGTCACACTATTAATAAAGATAGCAGTGTCCATTATTTTGTTTTTTTCCACCCCTTCTCTAAAGGGAAATATTCATAATGGGAATGGGGACAAAGCAGACACCCTATCAATTTAATTAATTCATAGTTCTGAAATGTATATTTTTAAAATGTAATTTAAACCATAATGAGTAAAAATACCTTCAATAAGATATTTTTAAATTTTAAAAATATGTTTCTTTAACAGGTTTCTATAATCCAGGAACTTGTTACTAATTATGAAGCCTCTCTTAAAACATGTGACTTTTTTAGCCCACATGGTAAGTTTAAATTAGATTGAATTGGAATTTGATGACTCATTTCATTTTTAATTACAGTAATGCACTTTTACGAATATTATATGTGTGCTAACTAATGGCTACTTAATAAATAGGTTTCAAATTGGTGAATGAAATGAGAACACTTTCCATCTTACTTAATTTAAATTTTCCATAATCTCGTGAGATGGGAGTTAACCTTGTTTTAGCATGAGGAAACAGACTTGAGAGCTTGAATGGCTTGCCCAAGACCATGTAGTTAGATTATATTGGAACCTGTTTTCTTGAGTCCCTAAATTCTTTGCTTTCTCTACCCTCTTACTACATTTAATCCTGTTTAATTTGGCCATTTGCTTCTATATTTGTAGTATTCTATAAATACTAAAATACTCTTTCAGAATTTTTGTAATATTTTTTAAGAGATGGAGCCTCACTATGTTGCCCAAGCTGAACTTCTGGGCTCACGTGATCCTCCCACCTCAGCCTCCTGAGTAGCAGGGACTACAGGTGTGTGCCACCATGCCTGGCTAATTTTGTGTGTGGGTGGGTTTTTTTTTATACAGATGGGGTTTTGCCATATTGCCCAGGCTGATCTTGAACTCCTGAGCTCAAGCGATCTGCCTGCCTAAGTCTCCCAAAGTGCTGGGATTACAGGTATGAGCTGCCACACCCTCTTTGAGTATTTTTAAAGCAAATTCCAGACTATTTCATCTGTAAATACCTTAGTGTGCATCTCTATTTAAAACACTTAAACAGAAGAAGTCACTGAGTGCCATGTCACACAAAACGTCATACCATAATATCCAATACCCAGTCCGCATTCAGATTTCCGCAGTTATCTAAAAGAAGTCTTTGTTTGGTTTATTTGAGTATAGATTCAGTTAAGGTTCATACCAAATATTTGGTTGTTAGATCTCCATAATTTGATTGTTATGTCTCATTATTTTAATCTACAACAGTAACTCTCTCCTCCCTTTCAAAAAAACAGTCATTTGGGGTATTTGTCTTACATGTCCCGTATCCTGGATATAGCTGATTTCTTAATCATGGCATTATTTGCTGTATTCCACTGTCATTCATACTTCTTGTAAGTTATAGTTAGGTTTACATGCTGGGTTAGATTCAGGTTCTGTTTAAATACAGGTGGTGTTTTGTGCTTCCTGTTGTATCAGGAAGCTTGAGGCATTCTGGTTGTCTCTCTTTTTTGATGTTAAGATTGATAAGGATTCAGATGTTTGACTGTTATACTCATTAAAAAGGTCCTTGACGGCAGGGGGCACGGTCGTTCACACCTGTGACCCCAACACTGTGGGAGGCTGAGGCAGAAGGATCTCTTGAAGCCAGGATTTGGAGGCCAGCCTGGGCAACAAAGTGAGACCCTGTCTCTACAAAAAATTAAAATATTAGCCAGGTTCGGTGGTGCTCACCTGTAGTCCCATCTACTTGGGAAACTGAGGCATGAGAATCACTTCAACCCAGGAGTTTCAGGCTACAGTTAGTTGTGATCATGCCACTATACTCCAGCCTTGGTGACAAAACGAGACAAAACTTTCTTATTGGCCTCTCAGCCATTGAAGATCATTGCCTAGATCCCTTGTTCATTCTGATCCTTTCTTCTGCATTTGCTAGCTAGAATTTTTCTTATAAAGAACTTTCCTACATCACATATTTGGTTCCCTTAAAATATAGTTTATATGAGAGGAACAAAATAGATGCTTAACTCATTGCCTTTATTTTATTATTTGTGTTTTAATGTGTGCTGTAGTGTGTTTACATTATCATGTTATTTGGTCAGCTATGCTAGGAGACTTGTTTGTTTTGATGTAGTGTGGGTATATTCACTGTTTTCTCCTCATTTTTATACCTGTATGTCTTCCCTTCTGAAATCCATTTTGAGAGCATGGTATTTCTTTATCTACTCCTCTGTAGTTAGAGGGTGCAGGATGGGGAACAGGATAGAACTCAGCTAAGTTTATATATGTGACAGCTTTTTTAAGAGGACTATGCTGTGTTTTTTCTACTTAGGTTTTTGTCAGATGGCAGGGTTATTTATACTTTGTCGAGTGTATCTTCTTCCTATAGGTCATAGTCTTCAACTTTGGGTATCCCTTATTTAGTATTGAGGCCTGGAAAATGGTAAGCCATGGCAGTTTGGCTGTTCTTGCCTCTGCTGAAATCGTGCAGTGGTAGTTAGGAAATCTCTTTCCAGGTTATTTTCCTTGACTTTTCTTAGTCTTACTGCCCTTTTGCTTTCAAGCTGAGAATTCACAGAATTAGACTGATGTATGTCTTCTCCCCAGTGTTGTTTCTTTGGAGTAAGATTGGGGTTAGAAGCCTGTCAGAGTACAATCTTGTTTCTCTTCATGGCTGCCACTTTTTGAACTTTATGAAGTCATACTCCTTCTTTTGAAATTAGTAGTCTTTGGTGAGTTTTTCCTGCTTATTATTATTGCAATAGTCATTAATTTCATTATGAAATAGGAGAAATAAAGTATGTGATTTGTTTTATATTCTTCCTGTAATATTTTAATATTTGTTTGATTGCAGAGAATGGGGAGAAGGAACCCCCAACAACACTACTTTGGGTTCAGTATTTCCTGGCACAGCACTTTGATAAACTTGGACAGTATTCTTTGGCTTTGGATTATATTAATGCTGCAATTGCTAGTACTCCAACTTTAATAGAATTATTCTATGTGAAAGCAAAAATTTACAAGGTAAAATCTCAATCCTGCTTTTTGTAGTTGAAGAATTCAGCTACTCTAAGAAGCCTTGGAGTTCTTTCTTTGTAGAAATAATTTCCAGGGCATCCTGATAATCTTTTTCTAATACTCTAATAATTTTGAGTAGTTTTATATATATAAATTGTATAATCAATCTGTAATTAGATGTGTAATCATTTGAGCTCTTAGTAAATGCGAACTGTAATTTTGATTTCTAAGTAAATTTGACAGAAATTGTGACAGATTTCTATTTTCCCTGTGCAAATTATTTTCCGCTTTATTATATTCATACTCTCTTGATTATAAATTGCGATGCATTTTATCTTTTGTAGCATATAGGTAATCTCAAAGAAGCTGCAAAGTGGATGGATGAAGCACAGTCTTTGGACACAGCTGATAGATTTATCAATTCCAAATGTGCAAAATACATGCTTCGAGCAAATATGATCAAAGAAGCAGAGGAAATGTGCTCCAAGTTCACAAGGGTAGGAAATAGCATACATGAGCATGTAATTGTCTAAGTTAAGACGATTTGTGAAGTTTGCCACTGAAGTTCATAAGAATTCATTTTTGTTATTACTTTTTAAATCCCATTTAGCCCATTTCCTAAGAATGGTTTCTTACTGTGTGCGTCTGTGTATATGTTTCTGGCAGGGGATGGTTAAACAATAGAAAGAGCAAAATATCTTGGTTCATATATAAACAGTATGCCATACTTTAGCACTTACGTGTAAAATTTGATTTATATCTCAAATTCTTTGTCCCCCTAGTAATTCGTGACTGCTTTTTAATTCTGTCTTACTTTTGACTTGCTCATAGAGTTCTTTTAGTATAGAACTAATTGCTGTGAACTAGTCTCTGTGACATTCAGGAATTTAAGTTTCCTGAGATTGTTGGGCTACACATCTATTCCTTTCCTTTCCCTCCTTTACCATCCTTTTTTATCCTTTCCATGTAGACTTTCCATTATGTTATAAAACATGTTTATGGTTAAAAATGTAAGTAGACTAATGGAACAGTAGAAAGCTGAGAAACAGATTTCACAGATGTTTGGAAAATGGGATATACCCAGAGATACTGTAAAAATGAGAGATGAAAAGGTTGCTGGGACTATTAGTTACTCTTACTGGGGGAAAAACAACCCAATATCCCTGTTTTTTGCTGTATACCAATCAGTTCCATGTGGATTAAAGATCAGATATGGAAAGCAAACCTTTCACACTTATAGAAGAAAACATATAGGAGTTTATCTTTAGGATAAAGAAGCATTCTTTATGCTTGAGGTAGGAAGCATTTCTTGACACCAGAAGCATAAAGTATAAGAGAAAAATTGAGTTGGGCATGGTGGCATGTGCCCATAGTCCCAGTTACCACATAGTAAATGTGCTAACTTCAAAGTCTTTGGTGCCCTTTCCACAATATCACAAGTTTGAAATTAAGAAGTGAGTACAAGGAATAAACATAAAACCAATTATGTTTTCAGAGAAAAATACCACCTGGAAAGCCAAGGTAGAGATTTAAAGTAAAATACAGTTAAATATGAAGTATACAGGTTGAGCATCCTAAATCTGAAAATCCTAATTTGAAAATGGTTCAAAATTTGAAATTTTTCGAGCACTGGCATGATGGTCAAAGGAAATGCTCATTG